AATAATATTATTATTAATATTAATATTAATATATATATATGTAATATATATAATAATAATTATAATATATATATAATAATTAATATATATATAAAATTAATTAATCAAATTAATTAATATAATTAATTATTAATCCAATTAATAATTAATAAATATATATATATACATAAATAATTAACACTTAATTATTTATTATAAAATTAGAATCATATTCTAAAACATTTCTCTCGTATAACCTATAGTTTTAATGTACATCTTATGCACATTATTTTCAACCTATAGTTTTAATATGAATCTCATTCATATTAATTTTATTTGAATCTCATTCAAATAATATCTCTCATAATATATAGTTTTAATTTATAATTAACTATATATATTATAATGTATCAATATACATATAATCCCTTAAGTAATTTGAACAATTCAAATTCTTCCAAAAAATTTGATCCTCGTTTTACCCGTTATGAGCTAGCAAGGGGACCTAATGGACCTACAGATCCGAAGCTCCAACGATGCAAGATTAATCGGTCAAACTCATTGACCGAGATAATCTAGATTCGTTAACTACGGGTCATTCCACTAAAGACCCGCAGTTGCACTCTTCTCACCGCAGAATGTTTTCGTGTCCATGGATATACGACCATTAATGACGAGTCAATCCTTCACGAGTGTTCGTAACTCAAGTTGGGTCAAATTACCGTTTTACCCCTGAGTTACATCTTACTCCTTAAACACCACTGTTCCTCTAATGAACAACCCGGTTATGGTCTAACCAATAACCGGAAGTCCCTCTTGGCCAATGAGAGGGTAGGGCCCCTTGTTCAAGTCCCGGAGTCAGCATTTAAGGGAACACTCACCTACTCCCCCAAAGTCGGGGAGGAGTGAATTCTATCTTGTGAAGTTATGTTCCCAGCTCCCCACTCGGTGTCATCCCCAAAATGGTAGAAATGTTGAGTCGGCGACTCGGACCACTCTCACCCATACAGATCAAAGGACGAGCCCTCACGGGCAGGAGTCCATAACTAACTCAGGATTGAGAATGAGTTGCCTGGTCATCCTAAGAAATAGGAACCTATTAGTTAACGGTGTTACATCTAAAGATTGTCTATTTCCTGGTCCGGTCTTATACAAACTCATTGTATAGGATACCCCCATGATTACGCTTGTTTACATGCGTAAAAAGAAGGTTTTAGATGCTGTTTTTACTATGTTTTAACTTTGTTTCGGACTTTTTCTCGGTCGTTTGAGTTCCAATTCATGCAAAATTCATATATGATGGTTTGTGGTT